GGTGAGATGGAAAGGTTTGCTTTCACGTGGAAATAAAACAAACTGGAAACTGAAGATCCAAGCCAGCAAACACATGTTCGCAAAGTGTAAACTTTACTTACTTTATGGAAGAGTGCATGAAAAGACAGGATTAGGATTATGCCGATTCCATGTGATATTTCAGTGGAGAAGATTTTCTAGGGTTTCCTGCCATCTCACCAGAGCTGGACATCCTCCAGGCCCTCAGCCGGATGTGAGCGATTCTCAGCCCATTTTCGTAACAAGGCTGATGTCCTCCGTAGGGACCTTGACTCTGTTTGTACACCCCTTCAAGGCTTGGAATGCATGTAGCCATAATTAACACTGTGGGACAGGGCCTCCTCAGATCCTGCTAATTGCATTTTTCACAGATATTGTATGACCACCCAAGAAGTTGTGCTTAAATCATCTTTTGTGGATTAGACTGAGAGTGAGGAAGCTGCTAGGAATTTGGCTCTGAGGTCTGGAGGGGGCCTGAGCAAGGACTCCCTCCTCCCAAATTATAATTAAGAATGACGTGCTCTCCAGCTGATTCCTACTTTGGTGAGCCTTTATAGGGTTCTCTGGATATAGAGTGCAGTTTACTCAAGGCTACAGAGTCTGTCTTTCCTCCTGGGATCCACATGGTGGGGAATCAAACTCCTGGCCCCTGTCTCTGCAGGCCGAGGCCAAGAGGCAGTCACGAAACCAGCAAAGTCAGGGAGCTGGACAGGGGACAGATTGTATTTGTCTTCAGAGTGGAAGGGATGGTCGCTCTCGAATTGGCCTCCTCAGCCACACTAGACGCTGTTCCAAGTCCTCCATACAGAGCACGTTACCATCGTCTCTCGAGACTGAAGGATGCCTAATCTAATAAGTGCCTAAATAAATTACCATTTTACTAGAATGCTTTTAAAATTATTTTTTAACATTTGTATATAATTTCTGTTTTTAGCTTTTAATGTCTTTTTAATAATGTAAGAAGAAGTGGTGTATAAACAAACAAGGAAGTAATGAAAAATGCAGTGGGGATAGGAGAAATAAGAGGACATATTTTTTAAAAAAACAGTGTCATCTATTCTAATGCAGTAGATTCCTTTTGATTTGATTGCTTTACCTCATTCACTGTATATTATGGATGGGCCGAGAGCCCCACTCTTAGGAGGGCCCTCCTGGTACAGAATGCCTTGTGTCAGAGGAGAATTTTAAAATGGGGGGTGCTCTCCCCCTTTCCATATTTAGGTGGCCCAAACCTGAAACTCCTTCCTTTTGGGGCAAACATCAGTGAAAACAGGATTTTGCTCTGAACTTTGATTCTCCCCCGCACACAGACACACACGCAAAAACACCCAGGATGTGCTTTCACCTCGGTGACCCTGTTTGGGCCCCTTCATGAACATCTTTCTCAGGCTTTGTTCACGGAAGGCTCCCAGAGAGCTCAATTTCAGCCCCTGGACAGCAGCCGG